TCAATAATACAGTGAAGAAAAAAATTAACTGAGATTGTATATAGTATAAATGAGTTTATAAGTATTATCAATGATTATTATCAATTGTATATGTATTACATAATTATCAGAACAGAATCAAACTTGAGTCAAAATCATAATCAATTTCAGATTATGTTCTTATTTTTTATAATCAGTCACTTTATATGAAATATCAAGATTTATTAGTTTCATTCTGATCATATTAGACTCAAATCTGATTCTTTTATACTTTATTTCTGAAAATTTTAATCTCTTTACCACTTCTATTTTAATTCTGATCTCACTGAAAATCATATCAAAAAATAAACTGAAATCAAATTAAATTAAATTAAATATGAAATTTATGATCTCATCAATCAGTCTATATTTGATTGATAATGATAATTATCTATATTTTCAAGATAGACAATGAATCTCTGATTCAGAACTTCTACAAATATAAATTATATAAAAGATTTACAACTTATCAATAACTGAGTACTCAAAGTATAAAATTATATACAGCATTATCACTTAAAAATTCTACTAATTAAATATATTAAAAAATATACACTGATTTATATACAATTGTAATTACTGCAGCTCAATAATAGTATAATATAAATGTTAAAAAGAAATACTGAAGTCTCTATCTGTCTTTAAATGAATTTAATATAATATAGCTATTGACTTCACAGTCTTTTTATCTGAAAGTAATGATTCTATAAATATTCTAATTATCATTAATTAACTCAATAAAAATATAATACTATAGTTCTATAATAAAATAAATACTGAAGTTATTGTGAATATTTTTATCAGAAGTCTATTCTATTATATACACAGTCTATTATTATTTATTATATCAGATAAAGATAGTTAATTTATCAGTATACTTTGAATCTGTATATACTAACTACTGAGAATTGAATAAAAGTTATTAACAGTATATTACTCAGAGATTAATGAAGTTACTGAGAGAATAATATAAATAATTAAAAATATTTTCTGAAAGTTCTGTAATTATATATAAGATAACTGAAGCAACTTACTGCTGTATACTGAAATTACTATAAATAATTAAAATTTTACTATAACAGATATAAGCTTATTCTTTCTTCTATATAGTTATAATTTAGAGATTTTGAATTTCTCTGAAACTCTTTGAAAGATTATATACATCTACAATTTTATACAAACAGTGAAGAATATAGTTAGTAAATTCAAAAGAACTTATAAATAAACTGAAACTTCAATAACTAGTACTTAATAGAACTATAAAAATTAAATAAATATCAGAAGACATTCTACAATCTATTACAATATAAAAAATAAAATCTAATTAGATCTCAAAAATATAAAAATAAACTATCTTTTATAAATATTGAACTATCATTATATCAAGTACACAGTAGTAGAAGTGTTAGATATTTACAACTATTAACTGAATATCTTATCTGATATTTATAATATCTTTTATATAAATCTACTTCAATTTATAACTGAGAATCTATTTCTTTTACAGAAAATCTTCAACTGACAATCATCTGCTATTATAGAAGAAGACAATGAATTTAAATAAAAAATTAAAACAATTCTTAGCAATAGAATCAATTATCATCACTGTAAATATTTTATTAAATAAATAGAATACAATTGTTCAATCTGAGAATTTATATCTGTTATAAAAAATATCACTGTATTTGATATCTATAAATTTTTACTTATCTCAGTAGAGAGAAATAATGTAATGACTTAGTATTTATTGATAGTTAACTTACATAATCAACTCTCTATCATATATTTATATACTCATATACATTTATAAAGTTCTTTTACATCTTCTCACAATTCTATTCTATAATTATATATATTTTAATATTCTAATAATTCTTCTACTTCATACTTCTTCAGAGTGTAATCTCTGATATTTTTTTCACTTTAATCTTCTTATTTATAAAAACTCTTTTATACAATCTCTTCTTCTGATCTTCATTCTCTTTTTTTTTAATCAATTTATAAACTGTTATTAGAATAGTATCAAATTTATTGATAGTACTATTGAAATAAATTGTATAAACTGCACAGACAGTATAAACAGTTTAATCTACAATATTGATAATATCTGCTTAATTGATAACATATCTGTTACAATAAATAAAGAATAATAATAATAATAATAATAATCTGCAATAATAATAACATCTGTTTAATTGATAGCACATTTATTATATAAATAGATATTATTATTATTACAGATTAAACTATTTATATTATCTGTATAGTTTATATAATTTATTTTAATAATATTATCTACAGATTTAACACTATTCTGATAATAGTTTATAAATTAATTAAAAAAAAAGAGAATCAGAAAAAAAAATTATATAAAAGAATTTTTATAAATAGAGAGATTAAAATGAAAAAAATATTAAAAATTATACTTTGAGAAAGTACAGAGCAGAAGAATTATTAGAGTATTAAAATATATATAATTATAAAATAGAATTATAAAAAGATATAAAAGAACTTTATAAATATATATAAGTATATAAATATACAGTAGAGAGTTGATTGTGTAAATTAACTTCTAATAAATGCTAATCTATCACAATTTCAAGCTTTTTAGCTTGTCAGCTCTTCTTATACAAAATAATTACTAGTATAATAGAGTATACTACTCTTGATAATAGAGGGTGGCATACATCACAGAAGAATAATAAGATGAAATTACTACAATTTCAGTGTATGAGTTCATAGTGAAATACATTACAAATCAGTAGCATATCTATTACACCACTTCTTCAATTTACAAAGAGAAACATTGAATATTCTGTTGATACTGTATTCTACTTTATTTAAACAGTTGCTGGTCTTCAGCATCAGATGCCTTTAATTCAAGTCTTCAAGATAAAACATTTATTGTTTTCCCAGTCAAAATCAGTTGCAACTTCGTCCCTGTGCACAAGTCTTGATTTTACTTTACTAATATTCATGGTGATATGATTTAGTTACCATCTCATTGATTGTTAGTCAACGGCTTGGATTTCTCCATGGTCGAAATTTGCAGCTGAGCATCTGCTTCAACTTGTGGAATATCTATACCACTCAATACTGAATCCAAGTTGCTCTGGCTCTCCCGAAGAAAGCATATGAAGAAGTCCGCGCTTCTCCAGATTCTGACAGATTTTTTTTTTCGAAGAAAAATCCTCTGCTGAGCCGTGGGGTCCTATGCGACCGCTATAGTGATCTGATTCTCCACCATGAGCTTCCTCAGGCTTGGTTGCTGCTGTGGTCCGACAAAGCAAGAAAACCCACCAGGATCTGAAACTTTTCCATAAACCGCGAATAAAATGGTGTATAACCGTACGCCATTGCGGGGTTGATATTTTTTCGGCTTCGGTGTTTCTCCACTTGATTCTTTCGGGAAGGAGCGCCTCTGTGTATGCGGCCAATTCCGCAATCGTTGTGTATTTGTTGTGCCAACATTTGCTGATGATGTTGTCAATTAATGGATCACCATCTAACTTCGGAAATTCCATGTTCTGCAGTAACTCCACAACTTTGCGTCCACGCTCTTTAGGATCCTCAGTAAGACATTGATCTCCATAGACCTCAAAGCCGTAGTTTATGAGGTAGTACAAGGAGCCCAAGGCAAACTGTTCAGTTCGAGGACCTAGGTAACCAGAACTCCCACGTCGCCCTTGATCCTGCTCATCACTGCTGAGTATTCGTCCATACGGTGCCATGCAGGCTTCAAAATCTGACCCAATTTCAGCTGTACAATCAAAATCTGACAGTTTCAATTGGTTGCGATTGAGTAAAACATTTTCGGGTCGTAGATCACCATGTGCAAGATTGAGTGACTCTAGAAAAGCAACAGCTTGAGCAAGGTCATTCATCCATTTCTTTCGTAGGGATAGAGGTTCCAGTTTCTCCACTTTAGTAACCACAGCAGTTTGCTGGTCACGAGTATGGTTAGTTTGTATTCTTGAACAGAGTGTTACATCTAATGAGGCTGTTAGTAGACACAATTGTCAAACACCAATAAGGGTCGCACCTTGCATGTACTCCATGAAGATGCCGTTGTCCGCGTAGAGGAAACATTGGACTATGGAAGGGCAGGGTGGATGTTGAGAAAAGATCTCATAGATCTTAAGTTCCTTCTGAAACTGCTCTCTCTCAAAGTCACCAGATTTTGGGATCTTTACCACGATGTGAGGATGGACCTCATAGACAAAGGAGATGCCTCCCTTCCAGATCCAGTGCACATCAGGGAACTGCTGCTGGATATCCATAATAAGGACAAAATGTAACAGGTTGGAAGAGGACGTGCAGAAAAGAATGTTGCTGAGCGTATGAGGGAGGTGAGCAGAGAGAAGAAAAGGGGGCAGTGGTGCTGAATTAGAAGGAGCCGGAGACCCGGAGCAGGAAATACTCTATGTCCGCCAAGCTTAGTCATGTATTCCTGGTGCACCCGTATGATTCTGTTGGGGGGATTGGATTGGGTGATTCGTACCTTCTATACCACCACAGCGCTGGTGGTGATTGAGCTCTTTTGCCCTAGTGGCCTAATAGATTCATTCCTCTATTTCTCTGATACTGTATTCTAAAGGGAACGTAGTGAAGTGGATCATACATGTGCTCCAATTAGATGAATATCAGGTCTGAATTTGAAATGCCTCTAGAATATCCCATTCGTGGCCCGAATACATGACCAATCTCTGGCAGAAGAGAACTAACTACATGTAGTTGGCAGATTCTGCCTCCAAGCATCCTCGCCCTGGTATTCTCAACGGATGTCTTTACCCATTGAATTCAGCTTGATAATAACAACCGGAAATGTTCACAAGTGTAGTACATAAGTGAAATCCACAATAGACTAGTGAGCAACCAGTTTGTTGCGACAGATTCGGATTAATTGGCTTTCGCTCCTTTGCCAACAATCCTTGCTCACTCATCGGTAATGTTCTAAGCCCTCTCCCACTGTCCATTCCTCTTCACCCAGAGACCATTGGCGATACAATCAGGGCATGGGTCCCTCTTAGTTGTCTTCCCCATTTGCTGTGTTCGCTTAATGATGCCACAGTTGTTGCAGCCCTCGAATTCAATGACACTGCCGGGGGAATCGATTCTACACCCGCATCTGTGCTCGATCGTTTCAATGAGTCGTTGACACATATTTCTCCTAAGATTACCCATGTTAGCTACGGTTATTATATCAAGCAGCGATACTCACGGGATGCCAAGATATAGTATCCAATGTAGAACAAGTTATGGTAAATCGGGTGGTCGTAGCGTCTTTCTTTTTCCGGTGCTGGTTCTGTGCTGGGAGAAATTAGGGGAAGTGAGCATGGATATTTATGTTGGAACTTTTCATTAACCCGAAGAGTCGCCTGGAAATTACCTGACCTCGCTCACAGACCTCGATAAAATCTCGAACCTTGCCAACATCATGTGTGAACAGCGAGCTGCTTGGACAAGGATTGCTGCGGGATGGTATGGTACTTGCGTGTTAGCCTCCACCTGGGCGGCTCCATGCACCAAGTCATTTTAGTGACGGTCTTTACAGGGCACGCCATAGTTGTTGCGGATTCTGCCGTCCGACCATGTAGCGCCTAAGCGGGGCTAAGGGTTGGGTCAGAGCTACTCTCAAGTCGACGAAACTATGGACCCCGCTCGTTTGGGTTGCATTATTGAACTGGCACGTCGACGTACGGATGAGGCTGACACGAGAAATAGCCAATGACCGCTACGGCTGGATGGAGGCAAGCTAATATTGCGGGTTATGTTTCTGGACTTTGACACTGCAGGTGGGTAAATATACATGTATCAAGAAATTGTGGATATGAGGCCTGCGCGTGTCGAGGAACTAGGCCCGCAAATGATCAATCAACCCCACAAAGTTAAGATTGCTCGGCAAGAAGCGATCGGACAACCAGTAACATTCGGTAGTCCTGAAAATATACCTCCAGCGGGGAACCATGTCATTTGAAGCTATTCTGCGGGACATCTAAGAAGGCAGCTGCGGCATATATACGCTAGTCCATAATAGGTAGCATAGAACAGTTCTGAGGTCTGAGAGGGCCCAATTTCGGCTGGCTGCTTCGTTGCCTGATTCACATGCCCACTAGTTATCCCTGTACAGAGGGCCCAAAAATGGCCTAGCGGTATATTATCCCAAACAACCATTAAAAGTCGATTATTTATGATATATGTGAGGTATTTGAGACTTGTCACAAAATATCACCAATTGGTCAAGAATGTTAAGGCCAAGAATGTTAAGGCCAACTCCCGATCTTACTCGCACAGTCTCTCAGGCTTGAGAGCCCTGGCAGCATAACGACAGTCCTCTTTGGAGCAACATCACTTATGAATAGACTGGCCGCTGGGACCATGAATTACACATTTGGTTTGGTTTGGTTTGGTCCCAGTCCATTTCTTGGCTACAGCAGCCTATAGTGACAAATGTGTCAAATAGGTTTTTTTGATGTTTTTCACTGTAATTAGACTGGCTGTGTGACTGTGTATGAGACTGAGACTAAAATTTTCCTCAGTCTCATTATCAAATATTTTAGTTCTGATTCTATATAGTATTTTATAAATTAGTCACTTTACACTGTTTATATTATAGCTCTGATTTTATTTTACTGTTTATAAAAAATATTAAGTTTTAAATACTGTTCTTATCTTTATTTCTGAGTCACAGTCTTATTTGATTTTATTTTACAATACAGTATTAAATAAAACTGTGATTTATTTATAATTATATAATTCATATATTATTACATCAGATGATGTCTAATTATGCTGTGAGTATTATTAAATATTATTATTTTTTTTAAAGTTAACAATAGAAATATTATTATATATCTCTAGATATATTAAAAATTTAAAAAAAAAATAAAATAAATATCTGAAAATATTAATGAAAAAAAAAACAAAAATCTTCTGTAAAAAAAATAAAAAATAAATAAAAAATATAAAAAAAAATAAAAAAAATAAATAAATAAAATAAAACTTATTTTATTAGTCTATAGTTATTAAAAAATTTACTTCTCAATTTTTGAGTGATTTTTATAATCAATCTAGTATCTCTTACAGTAAGAATCACTCATTTATAATAAATCATAATCTTAAAATTATCTATAAAATAATTAGTGAGATATTATTATATTTATTTTTATATAATATTATATATTCAAAAAATATGATTAGACTGGCTGTGTGACCATGCATGGGACTGAGATCAAATTTTTCCTCAGTTCTATTATTAGATATCTTAGTTCTGATTCTATATAGTGTTTAGTAAATTAGTCACTTTACACTGTTTATATTATAAATCTAGTCCCAGATCATGTTTTACTAATAAATTAGTGATTCCAATTCCATTTGATCCCATTTTACAAAATGGGATCAAATGGGACCATGATTTACCCTATATAGATTGGCAGTGATAGATTAGCAGTGATAGATTAGCAGTGGTAGGTAGGTTGGCAGCGGTAGATAGGTTGGCAGCGGTAGGTAGATTGGCAGCGATAGATTAGCAGTGATAGATAGATTAGCAGCAATAGATTAGCAGCGATAGATTAGCAGTGATAGATTAGCAGTGGTAGATAGGTTGGCAGCGGTAGGTAGATTGGCAGTGGTAGATAGATTGGCAGCGGTAGGTAGGTTGGCAGCGATAGATTAGCAGTGATAGATAGATTAGCAGCAATAGATTAGCAGCGATAGATTAGCAGCGATAGATTAGCAGTGGTAGATAGATTGGCAGTGATAGATAGATTGACAGTGGTAGATAGATTGGCAGCAGTGATAGATTAGCAGTGATAGATAGGTTGGCAGCGGCATAGATTAGCAGTGGTAGGTAGATTGGCAGTGGTAGATAGGGGATCTAATAGCAAGCCATCAGAGCATTGAGCACTAAGCAAGATAGAGGTAATATCTCCACCAATCATATCATCAGATTGATGTATTATATAATCATCAGAATGGGATCAAACTTGAGTCAAAATCATGATCAGTTTCAGATCATGTTCTGATTTTGATAGTCAGTTACTTTACATGAAATATCAAGATTTTTTAGTTTCATTTCACTCATGTTTTGATAATTCTAGTCACTTTACACTCCCATTCTGGTTCTGGTCCCACTAAAATCATGTCAAGAAATGGACTGGAATTAAATCAAATCAAATCAAATGTGTAATTCATGGTTCTGACAGCCAGTCTAAATATGATTAAGATTGTCTCTGCAGTGACTTGAAGAGTATTAAGTGTAATAGATATACCACTGATTAAGCAGATATTATTAATATTGTAGATTAAATTATTTGTACTGTCTGTGCAGTTTATATAATCTATTTCAACAGCACTATCAACAGACTTGACACTATTCTGATAACAGTTTACAAATTGATTAAGAAAAGAAAGAGAAAGAAGATTAGAAGAAGTGATTATATAAAAAAATTCTTATAGAAGAAGGATTGAGACAGAAGAATATCAGAGATTATACTACAGTAAAACACAGAGTGAAAGAATATTAAGAGTTATACAGAGGAATCATTAAAGACTATATAAATATGAAGTGAAATTATGAGAAGAGGGGTGTTTTATAGATATGTAAGAGCATATGTGAGGGTAAACAGATGATAGAGAATTGATTGTATAAGTTAACTACTAATAGATGCTAATCTATTATATTATTCTTCTTCTACTGAGATAAGTGAGAATTTGTAGATGTTGAATATGACAGTATCTTTTATAATAAATATAAATTCTCAGATTGAATAATTATATTCTATTTATTTGACAAGGTATTCACAGTGATGATGATTGATTCTATTACTGAGAATTGTTTCAATTTCTCATTCAAATTTATTGTCTTCTTCTATAATAACAGATGATTGTCAGTTGAAAATCTTTTATAAAGAGAATAAATTTTCAGCTGTGAATTGAAGTAGATTTGTATGAAAGATATTATAAATATCAGATAAAATATTCAGTCAATAATTGTGAATATCTAATACTTCTACTACTGTATATTTAATGTGATGATAGTTCAGTGTATATAAGAAATGATTTATTTTTATATTTTTGAAATCTAATTAGATTTTATCTTCTATACTATAATAAGTCACAGAACTTCTTCTGATATTTATTTGATTCTTATAATTTTATTAAATACTGATTATTGAAGTTTTGACTTATTTATAGACTTTTTTGAATTTACTAATTATATTCTCTATCATCTGTATAGAACTGTGAATGTATATAATTTCTCAGAGAATCTCAGAGAAGTTCAGAATCTCTAAATTATAATTATATAGAAGAAAGAATAGACTTATATCTGTTGTAACAGAATCTTGATTATTTATAGCAATTTCAATATATGACAGCAGATTATTTCAGTTATTTTATATATAATTATAGAATTTTCAGAAAATGTTTTTAACTATCTATATTATTCTCTCAGTGACTTCATCAGTCTCTGAGTAATATACTATTAACAACTTTTACTCAATTTTCAGTAGCTGATATACACAGATTCAAAATGCATTTATAAACTGACTATCTCTATCTGATACAATGAATAAGAATAGATTATATATATAATAGAATGAATTTCTAATAAAGATATCTGTAATAACTTCAATATTCATCTTATTACAGAGCTATAGTATTATATTCTTACTGAGATAATTGACAATGACTAGAATATTTATAGAATTACTGCTCTTGAATAAAAAAACTGTGAAGTCAATGACTATATCACATCAAGTTTATTCAGAGACAGACAGAGATTTCAGTATTTCTTTTCAATATTTATATTATGCTGTTACTGAGCTGCAGTGATTGTAATTGTATATAATCTGATATATATTCTTTGATATATTCAGTTAGTAGAATTCTTGAATAATAATACTGTATATAATTTCACACTCTGAGTGCTCAGTCATCAGCAAGTTGTAAATATATTATATAATTTATATTTATAAAGATTCTGAATTGAAAATTCATCATCTATCTTAAAAATATAGACAGTTGTCATTGTTGATTGAGTATACTGAGATATCTGTTCTTAAATATATATTTGTAAAGAATCAAGATACTTTGCTTTATATAACTTCTGTAATCTATTGTCAGAATTTATTCATCTCTGCTATTTGCTTTTATTGTTTTTCAAATAAAAATTTCTGAGCTTGAAACAGATTAATGTGTATACAGAGACTATCTGATTATATGAGACTTTCTATAATTGTGAAATCAATTAATCAATGTTTTTGATACTTTCATCTGTTATCTAGATCATCAGAAGATATATCTTATTCTCTGTAAAATAGAATATCTGTAAAAATATTTTCTGTCTCTGATCAGTAATGAATTGTGAATAAGAAACAGCTGAGAAATAGTAATCAGTGTATATATCTCTCTGTGAGCTTATAAGTGATTGTAAAGTATTCTAAGTTCTTATAATCAATAATAATCTTGAACTTCTCAATACTTATAAGTTTGAATTCTCATTCTTTAAAATATTGTATGATTGTCAGAAGTTTCTTGTTATAAATTTTATAGTTATATTCAG